CCATGGTGGGATGTGGCACTAGATGATTTTAAGGCTCTTCAGTGCTGTCTCTGAGCATCCCTGCCCTCCTCAGCCATGATCCTGGAAAGCAGCAATCCTGCACCAGTACTGCCTCACAGAAGCTCAGAAGATGACAGAATGTCTCCAACACAGGAAAACAGGATGAGTCTCCTGGGTCACGGTAAGGTGAAAGTGCAAAGCTGCTGGAGTTTATATTTAAAAAGCCCTGTCCAAAGAACACCCAGTGTCTGCTTTCGCAGAAATCAAACACTCCTTCAAGAGATAATCAAGTGAATTAGTAACACCACTTAAAACAAGAAGCCAAACAACCAGGGCAGCGCCAACCTGGACGTTTTATGGCTGGGCATGGATTGTTTCCCACCGAAGTGGGAGCTGGACTTCTGGTACAGTGAGATTTCACTGCCCTCCACCCCAGAGCTCCTCCACACTGTCCCAAGCGCTGCAACAACAGCCTGAAAACCTGGAAATCTCCCTCTGCTTTCTTGGGGGCAGTAGGATCACACCCATCTCACAAAACCCTGTAATTTAAAGCTCAGTGGATCTGCACTGCCCTGAAGCCACGAAGCAAACTCATGCTGCAAATAACTCCAGACAAAAGAAACTCGAGTTTTGCCCCATGTGGTTTGGAGGGGAGGAGCTGGGCCGGAGGAGTGGATGTGTCCCTTTGGCAGCTGCAACTGCTCATTACAGAAGCAGAGAAGACGGAAGACGGCAACTCCCAGTTTGGCTCCCCCTTCCCACTCCCCATCCCACCGCTGGAGGAGCTCCTACGTGGCACTGTGGGGGCTGGGAGCGTCTCTGCACAGCCTGATTGTGCTTGGAAATCACTGCAGAGCAGCAGGAATCTTCCCCAGCAATGCAGATCAAACTGATTCCCAGAAGTTTAGCTCTGGAGAAAAACTGTTCACAGTCAAGATGAAACTGTTTGCTAAAGTATTTTGGTAGAATTTACTCATTTTCTGTATATTCACATTCTAAAGTTCTGCAGGTTTTTTTTGTGGCTCTTACCAGGCTGTGTTGTATTGACAGAAGGAATAAGTTGAAATACACACTTAAAAATCAGGAAAAATCTGAAATATCTTTATGCTGGGCTGCCTGCCCTCAAACACAAAGAATTATTTTTATTCTACTCCAAACCCTGTTATTGAGGCAAAGCCATTTCAAAGGACTAAAGGACAGAGTCCMCAGAATGTCAGAGGACTCTGGCATTGGGAGACAGTGAAAGAAATCARGATTAAAATTTCAGAGTTTAGATTTCGCTAGGAAGGGAAAAAAAAAGTTACATGGGAAGTAATTACACAGAAAGGTTTGAAGGTGGAGCAATTCAGAGTTTGGCAGTGAAAAGCAGCTGACAGTGGGAGTTTAAAGGAGTTTTTGTCATTTCTCAGCTGGTACATGCTGCTAGCACAGACCACTAACATYTACCTCGGCTCTGATGGTTTGACATCCACAAATTCATTTTTAATAAAGCCAAAACGGTGTTATAAAAACTCTGGGACCCCACTGTTGATCATTTATGCAGACACAAAGCAAAGCTAACTGCACCAAAATACACTAGTGTACAAAAATAGCTTGCTTAAGGTATTCCAAAGCTCTTTTTGCCACTGAATCCCTCCCTGAAGGGASCAGATCTCTAAACATCATTGATGTGAGGACACCAGGTTTGTTGCAGCTGGTGGAGAATTTTGAGCAAGGGCTCMAAGATCTCCCTTTTTTGAGGTATGGAGCATCTACTCACATAGCACAATCTGAACAGTTCAGATGGAAGAAAAACGTCACATTTTGATGCCATCTTCCAGAATTCCATCTTCAGGGCTGTGCTGGGGAATGAAAAAATGAGATGATTTCAAAGCAAGGAGCTTCCAAGACAACAACCAGAATATCCCAAGCTTCCTATTTTGAATGTTTTCTACTGCAGCAACAAGAGGCTGAGACTCCCATCCTCAGAGGGAAGTGGAAAAACTTGCAGAGCCAAAATTAGGGGGGGAAATGAAAATATAGTGTGATTGAGAGTGAAACACAGACATTAAACAATGCAAGGATTCAGCATCCTTCTGCTGATGTAACCATCCATGAGGTGGGGGTACCTACAATACTCCTATATCCCAGATTGCCATGAAAACAATCCTGTGGCAGCTTAACATGTGGCGGGGTTGAATCTGCGCTTGTGATTCAGCAGAAATCTCTCCATGGCACAGCTTCTCTGGGCACCCTGTGCCAGGACATCACCACCCTCTCACAGGGAACAAGCCCCAATTCCCATCCATCCCTGCCCTGTGGCAGTGGGAAGCCATTCCCTGTGTCCTGTCCCTCCATCCCTTGTCCCCAGTCCCTCTCCAGCTCTCCTGGAGCCCCTTTAGGCACTGGAAGGGGCTCTGAGGTCAGCCTGGAGCTTTCTCTTCTCTTGGATGTCACCAATCAGGGCCACATTTCAGATGGCAGGATGAGACAGATGTTGAACACCTGCTGCCTGTGACTGCTCTGTGGCTGAAGGCCTTTCCACCACCCCTGACTTCATGGAGGGTGACAGCCCAGAAACAAAAAAAATAAATACATCACTATCTGCCTTTGGTGCCAACAGCCATGCAGCTGCAGGAGATGCCGGGGGCAGGGAGAGGATGGGAGTAAGATGGACTGAGCCCTGTTCAAAGGCACAAGCACCGTTTGGGCAGGGAAAAGTTCCCCCATCCCTGCTGCAGGGCCGGCTCGGGGACAGGCAGGAGGAGGGAGCGCGCATCCCCCTCCATCCCGACCCCCCTTGGGCGGCGCGGGGCCGGCATTCCCTGCCATTGGCGGCGGGCCGGCAGAGAGCRACGGATCCTCCCCTTCCTCTCCCTCCCCGAGCATTTTGAGAGGGTTTTCCCAACTTTCCAGAAGTTTCTCCCCGGCCCCTTATAAACCCCCTCCGCGGGACCAGGAGGTGCACAGGGAGCTGAGCAAAGCCGCATCCCGACCCCGCAGGTAAGAGGGGAGAGCCGGGGGATCCCGGGCTGGCGGGGGGGGACCGAGCTGACATTGCAGCAGGGTGGGGGCTATTTTGAGGTTCTGCATCCTCCTGTCTGGGCAAAAAAATCGGGGGGAGGATTATAGCATGGGAGAAGGGGGTGCGTGGGGGGTAGGCTGCAATGGGGTGGTTAGAAGTGGGGCATAGGAGGACAGACTGTCCCATGAGCTGGCTCTGCGTTTTTGAGGAAAAATATTTAAAAAATCCCTCCCATCGCCTCCAGTTTGCAAGAGGTGGTCGCAGTGAAGCTGCAGAAGCTTTCAGAGGGTGACGGAAAAGAAAAGGGGGATAAGGGAAACTTTATCTTGGTGTGAGTGAAATCCTCCAGCCCTGGGAGCCTCCTGGACCCTGGGCACCAACCCAGCACAGGAATGAGAGCTCTCCCCTATTGCAGCCTCCTGCGATAGGACGGCCCGACCCGTCCTGCTGCTGCCTTAACCAAGTGTCACAACCCTCCGGTGACACGCAAATGGCCTTTTGTTTGCCTGCCTCCACCCTGCAGCTTTGTCCTGCTCCTGGGAGGAACACAGCCCTCRGAGGGGTGCACCTCCAAATCCCGCCAGGAGAGCGGGTCCCGGCGGCCCCAGGGAAGGCTGAGGAATGCCACGCTGGCACTGGGCGTCCCCTCGATGTGGGAGCACAGGAGAGGATGTTGCTGGCTGTGCATTCCCCACATTCCCTCCATTTTCACCCTGGGTTATGAATTCACCAATAATCRCCACTGTAATCCAAGAATGGGCAAAATTTCTCCGTCCTGGGCTGCATGACTCAGCACAGCCCAAATCTGTCACCCAGCCCWGAAGTAATGAACCCTTTTTTAAGCTGAGGATGAAGAGGTGCAGCCCACCCCTGCTCACAAGAGAACTACTCCATGTATCTGTTTTCTTTCAGAAAGAAAAAGGCAAACGTTGACCTCACTATGAAACAGTTCCAAGGTATCCTCAGAAATAAATTAAAAATAGAAAATCAGAAGGAGCCTCCTCAGATTTTCAATGCTTGTCACCCTGGCTGCACTTTTATAAAAGTGTCGAGAGCAGTTTTGAGCCTGTTGCACAAATCTTTGCTCTTCAGGCAGCTGGGATGGCTTTTCCCTTTAACAGAAGCCTTGCTCCCATAAAGGATTTTAGGTTCTAAACCGCCTCCCTCTGAGGCTATGTAATTCCCACTCTGGCAAAGGGTCCCGGGTGGAACTGCGCACTCTCTTGGCCTGGGGCTACGTGCTGCGTGTTTCCTTCCATATGTAATCCCAGCGGGCCCTTYGCTTCCTGCCCGGAATACTTTAACCCCGCAGCGGCCTCGCAGCAGCCTCTCCTGACCTCCCCACGCCAGGAGCAGCCCCTGAGGCTGGTCAGGAGCAGGGTGGGAGGAGAGAGCCACCAAGGAACAAAACGCACCCCCACAAGCTGGAGGCAGAATTTAAGGCCTGAGGATCTGYCAGCAGGAAGGTTTGCAGGAGGGAGGGAACATGTGGGGCCAGTGGGGTGAGCTCCAAAGGGATTCCAGGCACTTAGGACTGGTCAGTCTGCACATTTAGCACAGCTAGGGGCTCAGAGCCCTAGCTGGGGATGGGTTCACCTACRTTGGGATGGGGTATATCTACCTAAGGCATGAACTGAAGGCTCTGCTGGGGAAAATGAGGGTACCCCAGCTCCCTCTGCACCAGTACCTCACCAGCAGGGCTGGACAGGCAAAACCAAGTTGAAAAGAACTGACCAGACAGTGTAGGATCTTCTCTAGGGCTGACCAGACAATGTAGGATCTTCTCTAGGGGTGCCGCTGGCTTTGCTTGCTGGAAGCTCACGTGCTCCATCTAGTGCCAAGGAAGCTGAGGATCTGGGGCCCGGGATGGGGTCCCAGTGAGGACAGTCCTTGCCATACAGTGCCTGAAACAGCCTTTGGATCGAGGGACAACTCTGTGCTGTGTGGCCCTGGGCAGCACAATCACCCTGCTTTCAGCTTTTCCTGGTTAGGGCATASCTTTGTCCAGCTCTGGGGACATGGAATCCTGGAATGGTTTGAGTTGGAAGGGCCCTTAGAGCTCATCCGCTGCTACCCCCTGCCAGGAGGGACACCTTCCACTGTCCCAGGGTGCTCCAAGTGCATCCAACCTGGCCTTGGACAYTTCCAGGGATCCAGGGGCAGCCACAGGTTCTCTGGGCAACTGTGCCAGGGCCTCCTCACTATCACAGGGAAGAATTTATTCCCAATATCCCATCTGCCCCTGTGTTCTTCCAGTTTAAAGCCATTCCCCCTTGTCCTGCYGAGATCCAATCAGAAATACCATTGCTACATTGCCCGGCCCCTCCTTAAACCACTCACTGTCCATTAACATTGGAATATAGGGAAACTGCTGAGGAAGGAAGCTGTCACTCCACATGCACAGGCTCTGACTGCCAGGGTGCAGCCTGCACTCCTGAATGTTAATTGCTGTTCAGGGTGGATTTGGGATGGCTGCACYGATGAAGCCTTGGTGCAATGTCACTGTCACCAAGGAGCTGGTTTTTTGGGCAGAGGCCCTGGGATCTGAGGGCACTCCAGGAAGGGTTGGAGTCATGCTGATGGGGAGTTTTCTTGCCCAGCAGATCCTGGGAAGCACTGGGTGCTGCTGAAGCCATGTGGATTATCATGGGGCTGGCCCTCCTGGGCCTYGCTGCGGCCGTGCCCTCGGAGGACAGGAAGCTGAGTGACAAGGCCACCACGCTGGCCGAGCGCAGCACCACGCTGGCCTTCAACCTCTACCACGCCATGGCCAAAGACAAGGACATGGAGAACATCCTGCTGTCCCCCGTGGTGGTGGCYTCCTCCCTCGGGCTTGTGTCCCTCGGGGGCAAGGCCACGACGGCCTCGCAGGCCAAGGCGGTGCTTAGCGCGGACAAGCTGAACGATGACTACGTGCACAGCGGGCTGTCCGAGCTGCTCAGCGAGGTCAGCAACAGCACCGCCCGAAACGTCACCTGGAAGATCGGCAACCGCCTCTATGGCCCCGCCTCCATCACCTTCGCCGAGGACTTCGTGAAGAACAGCAAGAAGCACTACAAYTACGAGCACTCCAAGATCAACTTCCGAGACAAGAGGAGCGCCCTCAAGTCCATCAACGAGTGGGCAGCTCAGACTACGGACGGGAAGCTCCCGGAGGTCACGAAAGACGTGGAGAAAACTGACGGGGCCCTCATTGTCAACGCCATGTTCTTCAAGCGTAAGTTCTACCTTCAGCTCTTGGTGTAAGTTACCCCAAACCTCCCCTGAGCCAGCACAAACAATCACGGAATGGTTTGGGTTGGGAGGAAYTTTAAGGATCATCTAAAAGCCCAAYGGGAAGGTGGACAAATCCTAGGTTCACTGGAGGAAGCTCTTTGTTGGTGGTTGGGAATTGTGCATGGAATTACCACCCATTCCCCTACCTTACAAGCTGTGTTTCTCTCTCTCCTGCAGCTCACTGGGATGAGAAGTTCCATCATAAGATGGTGGACAACCGTGGATTCATGGTGACCCGCTCCTACACTGTGGGAGTGCCCATGATGCACCGCACAGGTAAGAGGRAACCCTTCCCCCCAGCCAAGACCAGCCAGAGTTAGAATCATTGCTCCCCATTACCCAGATTCCCAACAGCTGCTTCCAATTGTTCTGCCTGAGAGAGAACAAAGCAGGGGAGTGTTCTGCTGATTCAGTCTCTCTGGGAGCAGAGAGAGTCCATCTTTACTACAGGATGCTGTTGGGAAAAAATCCTGCCTTGTCACACAAATGAGAGCCACAGCCAACTCCAGTAATRCCAGGCCAGTTCCCAAAAGGGTGTTGTTGTGGGTTAAGGTTTCT